AACTTGAAAAACTCTCCAGAGCTGTATCGACACTAGAGAGCCTGAACATCTCATCACCTCAGACATCATTAAAGCATGTGAAACCTTGGTCTAGATGGTCTCTTTAAGCAGTACAGTGACATTTACTTGTTAATTCACTGAATTAAGCTAAACTAATCTAAAGTTATTTTATTGCTGAATAAATGTCAGTTACCAGGTTTTTCTGTGCTTTAACTATTCTCTTTGAATTCTCGTCTTTACTTAATTCAGATTAACTGTCCTTGGTGTCCCACTTCCATTTGCTGAACCATTAACACCATTTCCAGCAGCACCTACAATAAAGAGGTGTCAAATTCAGACAGGGCTGAATGTAATTTAGGCTACTTTACTATGGGAGCTGCTGTTGCCTCCAATAACAAAACTATGAAGGCAGCCAGGCCCCCAAATACCCACACAGCTCTACCAGAGCTATACCAGCTCCTCTTAAATCCTCTCCCAGCACAGCTGCACGCAAATCAAAGATTTTTGCTGACAAAGCCATATCCACTAGAAAGACTGATCCTTCCACACCTGTAGCCCAAACAGAAATTGTAATGAAGATCTAGGCTTTAGGGAATAACCACAAAACAATTTACCAAGGGTTACAAAGAAAGAAAGAGGTAGGGCTTACTACACGAGCTGCTTTTAAATAACTGCCTGTGTACATGCTCTTCTACACCACAAGCACAGGGGAGAGAGGAGAGCTCACAGCTGTTTCAGGCTGTTTGTTTGCAGACTTAGGCACAGTAAGTTGCTTTGGTTACATTATGTTGATATGTGGAAGGTTTCCATTTCACACACAGAAAGTTTCTTTTGGTGCTTTGAGGACTGGAAGTTTAATTCTTTCTAAATAAAAACTTTGAATCTGGTCAATCTGAATAAGTTCTGGGAGTCTAAGGAACATACCAATTGTGCCATATCCAATCACTTGCAGATACATCAAACATGTGGCCCAAAGTGGTTCGTTGGAGGTCATGCATCCTCACAATGATGCATCACCACTCTATGAGCTAAAGATGTTATGGCACTGCAGCACAGCCTGGGGGTCTTCGTGTTTCAGTCAAGGAAGAGGGGACTGGAAACTCAGGAACTCCCTCCTAAAACGGTACTAAATCAAGAAGTTTTATAAAAAGGCAACGTATAACTTAGTACCATTGCAAATTCTCTACTATACATTTATTTCCCCTAACACTTGCTCTCTCTGAAGTGTTACCAACACACATCCACTCCATATAGTTTTCAAAACAATGCTTTAAAGCTTTTGAGTACAGAAGCTGCAGATTTTTTAGCAGTTCAAGACAGCAGTGTAACCAAATCACTTCCTATATACCTCAGTGAGTAAAGACAGCACAGACTGTTTCAGAATCTTTTGATAACAACCTAATAACCATGGAAGCAAAGCTGGAGTACTTGTGACACCACCATAACTGTTACTGCAGTTGTCCATCATTTATTTGAAAACTGGGGAATATAATGGAGGCAAATATTTGCCACTTATGTATGCCTTTCTATTAAAAGCCAACCTATTTCTAAATTTCCTTTATTCACAAAGGGCTTGAGAGAGTTACCGTTACAAATCCTTTGACAATTTTACATTAGGATTTTGTACTGACCATGGCATGCTCCATTCATGCACCTGGCAGTCTCCTCCCAATTCATTCAGAGCCTCTCGTGTTCTTATTCTCCTAGGTGTTCTGTTTATAGTGCTACAAATATTGGTCCATGACCTCTGGTACCAGGCCATCTCGAAGCTGATGTGGTTCAAGTCTTACTGTTCCTTTTCCATAGGAGAGTTTAGTTTAAAAATCTAACATTATGTACACAGTGAAGAAGTTTCAGGCATACGTTGTGATTATGGATTCAATATAAACATATTAATGTCACAGTCATAATTTGTTCTATTCAAAAACATCATCAAATGAAAGAGTCAAGGTTTTTCACCTGCAATTGTTATAAAGTAGCGAGTATGATTATTAAGTGAACATGTTTTCAAGTTATACCTGAAGGTGTTGAGAGGAAAAACACCCCCGGTTTTCAGTTGTTTTATGCATATGGCAGTACTTTGCATGCCATCATAAAGTCCCACACAAACAGAGAAAAACACCCATAACTTAAGTAAGAAAGAAGAAAAATGGTTAAGTGGGAAAAAAAGTGTTTTATAATCATAAGAGAGGTATTTGGGGGCAAATCATTTATCAAGAACTGTTTCTCCTCCTTTCCCTCCCTCCCACCCT